CTTTTTCTATCAACTTTGCATCCACCAAAATCAGCGTCCGAGTAACCAACAAGGTCAAAAGATGTATGTCTAGGATACCAAAGTCCCAAGAATGTGGTATAGCTCAAATAGCGAAAGATTCGTTTAACGGCACATAAATGGGATTCTTTAGGACAGGATTGAAAACGAGCACATAAACATACACTAAACGTGATATCCGGTCTACTTGCGGTTAGATATAAGAGACTACCAATCATACCTCTGTATTTTTTAATATCTACATCAGTGCCTTTTTCATCTTTATCAAGTTTCAAAGATGAGCTCATTAGAGTATGGGCATGTTTGACTTCCTCCAAGCCAAATTTCTTTAGCAAATCTTTAACATACTTAGATTGGCAAACAAAAATGCCATCAAGTGTTTGTTTGATTTGCAATCCTAGGAAAAAAGTAAGTTCACCCATCATGCTCATTTCGAATTCATTCTGCATACTAGAAGCAAACTTTTCACATATCACACTATTGGTTGATCCAAAGATAATATCATCAACGTAAATTTGAATGACCAATAAGTTGTTATCGATGGTTTTAGTGGAAAGAGTATTATCAATTTTACCTCTAATAAAACCATTAACAAGTAGAAAACCACTTAGTCTTTCATACCAAGCTCTTGGAGCTTGTTTCAAACCATACAAGGCTTTTGATAATTTGAAGACATGGTTTGGGTAATTATAGCTTTCAAAGCCCGGTGGTTGATCAACATATACTTCTTCTTCAATGATACCATTTAAGAAAGCACTTTTTACATCCATTTGATATAACTTGAAATTCTTATGGGATGCAAAAGCAAGGAGCATTCTTATAGCTTCAAGTCTAGCTACGAGGGCAAAGGATTCCTCATAATCAATTCCTTCTTCTTGATTATATCCTTGAGCAACAAGCCTTGCCTTGTTTCTTACTATGATTCCCGATTCATCCTTTTTGTTCCTAAATACCCATTTTGTGCCAATGATAGTTTTGTCTTTAGGCCTTGGAACCAAAAGCCAAACTTTATTTCTTTCGAATTGGTTAAGTTCTTCTTGCATGGCCAAAAGCCAAGATTCGTCATTTTCGGCTTCATGAATATTTTTTGGTTCAAGTTGGGAAACAAAAGCTACATAATTGCAAATATTACTCATTTGAGATCTAGTTCTTACACCTTTAGATGGATCACCGATAATTTGATTTATTGGATGATTAAGCACTTGCTTCTAAGCCTTAGGAGGAGTGTCTTCATGAGAGTGACTTTCTTTTGGAACATCTTTGGAGAGATCTTTATGAGAAGGATCATTTAAATCAAGATTTTCAACATTCTTTTCAATCTCAACCACATCTTCATTTTCATCCAATGAGCATCTAAGAGGGGATAATGGTGATTCATCAAATACAACATGTATTGATTCCACAACCACTCGTGTTCTTTTGTTAAACACTCTAAATGCTTTGCTACGAGAAGAGTATCCTAGGAAAATACCTTCATCTGAATTAGGTTCAAATTTTCCTAGATTATCTTTGTCATTTAACACGAAGCATTTACACCCAAAGACTTTAAAGTATCCAATATTTGGTTTCCTTTTGTTCCAAAGATCATAAGGAGTCTTATTAAGGAGTTTTCTAATGATGACTCTGTTTATGACATAGCATGAGGTACTAACAGCTTCGGCCCATAGAGATCTAGGAGAATCATGTTCATTTAACATAGTCCTAGCCATTTCTTGGAGAGACCTATTTTTCCTTTCAACAACTCCATTTTGTTGAGGAGTTCTAGGAGCCGAAAGATTATGATTGTATCCATTTTCATCACAAAATCTTTCCACATCTTGGTTATCGAACTCTCTACCTCTATCACTTTTAATGGACTTGATCTTACATTCTTTTTTCGTTTTCGACTCTCTTACAAAATTTAGTAAAGATTGTATGAACCTCATTTTTATGTGTAAGGAAAAATACCCAAGTGAATCTAGAGAAGTCATCCACAATGACAAATGCATAGAGTTTTCCACCAAGACTAGCAATTCTCTCCGGATCGAATAAGTCCATATGAATTAATTCTAATGGTCTTGAAGTTGTTATATCCTTTTTCCTTTTAAATGATGACTTGATTTGCTTGCCTATTTGACATGCGCTACAAGTTTTATCTTTAGAAAAATTAGTCTTTGGGAGGCCTTTGACCAATTCATTCTTAGATAGTTTTGAAATCAAATCCATACTAGCATGACCTAACCTTCTATGCCACAACCAACTATCCTCATTTGAGGATACAAGACACTTGACATCTTGATCGTGTAGTTCATATAAAAGCAAAGAATATACATTACCATTTCTTAGAGCGTGGAAAACTTCAACATTGTCCTTTTTGACAATGCATTTGTCCGACTTAAACAAGACATCATATCCTTTATCACATAATTGGCTAATACTAAATAGGTTATGTTTTAAGCCCTTAACAAGTAACACATCATCAATAGATAGGAGGAGGAGATACCAATAGTTCCAATGCCAATGACCTTGCCTTTTGAGTTGTCAACGAATGTGACGCTTCCTCCTTTATGAGGTTTGATGGAGTGAAATTTTGATTGATCTCCCGTCATATGCCTTGAACATCCGCTATCAAGAAACCATTTGTCCTTGGATAAATATGGAGACTTCAAGCAAACCTACAAAAGGAATTTGAATAATTTTCTTTTGGTACCCACATTCTCTTGGGTCCATGAGAGTTAGGAAGAGGTGTGTAAGTCCCTTTAATAACCCAAACTTCTTTTGTCCTACATGGCCTAATAGGACAATGATTGATCTTATGTCCTTTTTTTTTACAATAATTACATTGTGGACTAAAAGAGGAATTTTTAACAAAGTAATTGTTCAAAGGTTCTCTCTTTTTCAATAAACAAGAGTCTTTGTTGTGAGGATCAAATCCAAGTCCATCCTTGGCATAAGCATTTCTTTGCTTTCCAAGTATGAGACCCAAATTTTCTCTACCTTTTGTGAATTTTGCTAAGGTCTCAATTTGATCTTCAATCATAATTTTTAATGATTTATTTTCAGAAATTAAATCTATTGAAACCGATTCTTTATCTAATTCTTTTTCCTTTTTCAAAGCTTCATTTTCAAGTTGAAATTTTTCAAGGTTTTGAGAGATGATATTCTTTTCCCTTTTTAGAGTAGCACATTTTTGAACCATTTTGCCTAATTCATCATGCAATTCTCTAAAGGCATCTAGCAAGTAATTGTGTGCATCAACCAATTCATCATAAGTAATTTCCAAATTAAATAAGTCATGATTAGAAATTACCTCATCGTCATCGGCCATGAGACAAAGATTAACCAATTCATTGAGTTCATCGTCACTTTCGGATCCATTTGAATCATCATCCTCCCATGTAGCTTGCATGGCCTTTCCTTTCTTTTTCCTTTCCTTTTCATTTTTATAGGCATAGCAATCGGATTTGAAATGCCCCGGTTTTCCACAATGGAAGCAAGTAGGTGCTTCTCTTTTTCCTTGCTCACTAGATGACCCATTTCTTTTGAAGTTGTTGCTCTTTTGGAACTTCTTCATTTGAAGGATTCTTCTCACGGTTTTGGTAATGAGAGCAACTTCTTCTTCTTCTTCATCATGAGGAGCCTTATCAATTGCAACTTCTTTGGTAGTAGCTTGTAGAGCTATATCCTTCTTTTGAGTTTCTTCATCTCTATCATTCATTTCTTCTATGTTTTCTTCTCTCATTTCTATCCTACCAAACTGAGCATTGATATCAATTTATCCTTTTTAGTTTAAATATGTCAAGTTTAAAATTTTTTGAAAATTTAAAGGACTTTGCTTTGACGTTTTAAATAGAACTACTTTGGGACATCCAAAAAAAAAAAAAAAAAAAAAAAAGGTGGACTACTAATGTGGGACAAAAATAATCTCTATTTGTGGACTATTGATGTGAGACGAAGATAATCTCTATTTGTCATTGTTCTTATAAGGATTTTCATTGCTTTTAAAATTTTTATACACCTTTGAAATTACTGACATACTACTGTACTAGTCGTTTATTTTTGAGGAAGTAAAAGGAAAAGAAAAGAAAGCATTTTGACACTCTTTCATAAATTAGGAAGCTTTGGATCCATCCATTCTGTTCCTGCTGTTAGAAGGATAAGTGAATTGAATTCATCTCAATCTCAAGAAAGGTTGCATTTGTTCTTGCTTTGTTACAATTCCTTAACTGGAAAGGATAATGGTCCTCCACTTCTTGTTCCTTTATTGATCGGACAATTGTAATGGCACTCTTCTCTATCTTTCAAAATGAATAATGAGTGTTCAAACTTTCAAAAAATGAAAAGTGAGTGCGTGACTTTCTTGTCAAAACTATAATAGTATGACAACATAATTCAAATATTTAATTGGATGGTTAATGAAATACATACATTCACTAATAGGTGAATTCTTTAATTCAAGGGCAAACCATATAAATGGAATTCTTAATTAAAGAAAATTGCCAAGCGTTGAATCCACCTACTAGGGGTGCTAGAAGTACACCTAACCTTAAGCTTTAGATTAACAGTAAAAATAAAAAATAAAAAAATAAATAAAAGATGTAATTATAAATTAGGTTTGGAAAATTTCTCTCCTAACACGTGCATAAACTACTACAGTAAACTTTTGCATGGGGTCATTGCCCCATGCAATGTTAGAAGTAGAGAAATTTGTAAAAATTCAAACTGCAAGAGTAAGAAGAATACAAGTTCTCAAGCATGAGAGCTAATATCTGCACAAAAATTCCAATATGTACCAGACTTATCCCAACCCTAAAACTCAAAGACGTGATGGGAAACAGCCATGGCAAAGATCATCTGTAGCTAACTGCAGATCATGAAAAGGCATTTCTGTTTTGATTTTCATAACAACTAGAAGTAGCTTCTGCATATCACAGAGGTGGGCTGTAGAAGGGAGTTCTAAAACAGGACTAACATTATCAACAGATGCATATGAATAGACAGGATTTAATATGAACAGATCTGAATCTACTACCATGTTTTCACAATTGATATCTCATCTCTGCTAACATGTTTTCACAATTGATATCTCATCCTCCTCCAAAGGAGGTTGAGGAGATATCATAACAGTCACCAGTGTATCCGAAAATGGAGCAAGCAATTATAGATAAATAGTTAAACTAAAAAAATAAATGAGGGAGAGAGAGAGAGAGGTACTTCCACATCAAATTAATATGGTTAGACCAGGGAGGCAATTTTGGGAGCCACAATCCCTAGAAGTCCCTTTGGATTGTCCACATGAACCCAATGGCCCGAGTTGGGAAGAACGTGAACTGAAACCTTCCCCTCAGATTCATCTCGTCTCTGACCAGCAAGGCCTTCAAGCCGCTGAATCACCTCTGGGTCCCACCTGTCGCTGTTCTCAGCATGCACAATTGATATCTCCATAGCTTTAGGTGTAGTCTCCAACAAATCCCAATAATCTTTCTCCCTACAGGATCACACACACAAATTTCTAACTCACATGAATAATATGAAGGTGAAAAAAGTAAAAGTAAACATCTACAGAAATTGTAAGTGAATTCAAACTGATCTGCAATTTTACCGGTAAGAATCGAACATCTGGACAGCACCTTCAAGATTGAAAGCCCATGTCTCATGTTCTCCTGATTTCTTGAGGTTGCTGCCTATCCATTCTGATAATGACTTCGAAAATCCAAGCTCAATCATGTGGTTTACCAGCCACCTAAGGATAGGAGCATAATAGAAGGAATATAAGATGGACGAAATACAAGAGAAATATGTAGAGGCGTTTATGAGATAATTTGAATGAGAATGTAAGAAGGGGTTATTTTTAGACATTTCTACACCCATGTATTTATGTTAGTCAGAAATATAATTTACAATAAACATGATCAAATCTCACTAATTATGACAACAATTATGTGATCAAATCCCACTAATTACACCATCAAATCCCACGTTCCTAGGCTAACACTCTCCTCAAGCTGGTGCGTGGATATCTGACACGCCCAACTTGGACAATGCATCCTCAAACATGATCTTACTAGCACTCTTCATAAGAATGTCTGCAAGCTGCGGAAGGCAAATCTGACCAGAGATATTTTCTCTTGAATGAAGTGTCAATCAATTGTTACGACTTCATTTACGTAAAAAAAAAAAAAGTGTCAATCAACTAATCGAACCATCTCCTCATACCATAAATAATCAACAATGTCTCCTCAGACCATAAACAATCAACCATGTTTCCTCAGACCATAAACACTCGACATTGTCTCCTCAGACCATTTCCCTTCGTACATGTTTAAAATATGTAGATGGAAGAATCAACGTCTCCTCAGACCATTCCCCTTCATACACATTTTGGGGCAGCGGAACGCACCAATAAGAAAGATCCAATGAAAGCCAACAAAGCAATCATACACAAACATAAGATATAACGTGGTTCACCCAAAACTAGGGCTACATCCACGGATGAGAAGATATTCCACTATAATTCATAGAGATATTACAACAATAAAGTACCAACACTGCATACATGTGTCTTTTCACCATGTACCACTCCACGAGCCTATCTCCTTGCTACCAGTAAACCTCGGTATTTTTCCTACTATACCAACCCACAAATGATCTCTCCCATCAACTCACTCATGAGACTACATCTCTCTCAATCTTATAAATATCAACCCATAACTTAGGTATTTATTTAGAGTTACAGACACAATTCCTTGTTGGATAAGGATTACAATTCCTTGAAGCCCAAGACTTGCCTTTACAAGAAATTTCCTATCAGAATAGGACTTTCCAATAGAAACCTAATTAGAATAAGAATTTGAGACAATTTTCAACATGTTTAAAATATGTAGATGAAATAAAAAATAATGTTTTCTCAAATCATAAACCATCAACAATGTCTCCTCAAACCATAAACAATCTGCAATGTCTCCTCAGACCATTCATTACGGACCACCTTAGCTCTAGTACCAAAAAGGAATACAAGATGGAAGAAATATAAGAGAAATATGTAAAGGCTTGAATGAGACCATTTTGAACGAGAATGTAAAAAAAAGGTTATTTCCTCACATCTCTACACCCTTGGGTTTTTTTTTGTTTTTTTTTTTTTAATTAAGTAAATTTGTATTAGAAAGCATTCAAAAGGGGAACGCGTTCCAAGAGCTGTACAAAAATGAAAAAAGAAAAAGGAAAAAAATGAGATCTATGGACCCAACGACCCCAAAAAGTCCATAATCTCATCCAAAGAAATATAATCTCTCCCCATACCCCAACTAAAAAGAAAGCAAAGAATAGTGAACTTCAAAGCCCCAATGGAGGTCCCCTCCCCATCAAAAGATCTTCGATTGCGTTCTTTCCAAAGACTCCACCAAAGACAAAGGGTAATCACCCTCCAAAAATTACAGGCGCGCGCCCCTACCCTTTGGCCGCTCCAACCATCAATCAAATCCCTTGAAGTCCGGGGCATAACCCACTGAACACCAAAGAGACACAACAAAAGGCTCCAGTAGTTGTGGGCCACGAGAAAGTGCAAGAGGAGATGATCTACAGACTCTCCATCGTTCATGCACAGACAACACTGATTAACGATAACATGACGTTTCTTCCTCAAGTTGTCCAGAGTCAAGATCTTGCCCTAAACAGCAATCCACACAAAGAAAGCCACCCTAAGAGGAGCCTTCGAACGCCAAACCGTTTTCCACGGGAAGGTGGATCCATGAAATCCTGAAAGCTGGTGAAAAAAGGACCAGACTTGGAACGTCCCCTGAGGAGAAAGTGCCCAAGTCAAAGAATCCGACCCGGTGCCATCCACCTCCTGTCTATATAAAAGATCCAACAAACCAATGACATCATCCAACTCCCAATCTTGAAAGGATCGCCGGAACTGAACATCCCAAGACAACTTACCGCTATCAAGGCGATATCAGTCAGCAACCATAGCATGTCTATCAGCAGCAATCATGAACAAGCTCGGGTACAAACAAGACAAAGGACGGTCCTCGCACCAAGCATCCTCCCAAAACCGGATATCCTTTCCTTCCCGGACTCTAAATCTAATGTGCTTTGAGAACTCATCCCAACCTCTCCTAATGGATTTCCAAACCCCTACACTGACAGCAGACCTAACCGGTCTAGCTGACCATCCCCCCCTCTCCTCCCCAAACTGACAAGAAAAAACCTTCCTCCATAACATGTGTCGCTCACTACCAAATCTCCAAAGCCACTTGCCAAGGAGGGCCCTGTTGAAAAGGGTCAATCTCCTAATCCCAAGGCCTCCCAACCTAAGGGCCTGCAAACTTGCTCTCATCGAACAAGATGATACTTAAACTCCTCTACTCTACCGCCCCACAAAAAATTCCGTTGAAGCATCTCAAGTCTTCCAACAACAGTAAAAGGGATCTGGAGGAGCGAAAGGAAATAAGTTGGGAGACTAGATAAAGTGCACTTCACCAGAGTAACTTTTCCCTCCTTCAAAAGGTATTGCTTCTTCCACCCCGCCAGCCTTCTCTCGAAACGCTCAATCACCGGGTCCTAGCTTCCCACCCTTCTTGTCAAGACACCCAAAGGCAAGCCTAAATAAGAAAAAGGGAAGGAGCTCGTCCTACACCCTAAGACAGCTGCGAGAGACTCCACCTCCTGAATATCCCCCACAGGGACAATGAAACTCTTTCCCACGTTGACTTTCAGCCCAGAGACTGCCTGAAAGCAAACAAGGACACATCGCAAATATCTTAACTGGACACCTCAGCCTCACAAAAAACCAGAGTGTCGTCCGCAAAAAGCAGATGAGAAATCTCCAACTGATGAGCTGCGTCTGAACCAATCTTGAAGCCCTAAATGAACCCCAAGTCCACAGCCCTCCTCAACAACCTACTAAGAGCTTCCATGACAATAATGAACAGGAAAGAGGAGAGAGGGTCCCCTTGCCTCAAACCACGGGAGCTGCCAAAAAAACCTGGATGGGACCATTAACCAACACCAAGAATCTGACAGACGAGACACAAGAAACGATCATCGCCTCCATTTATCTCCGAAACCCATCCTCTCTAACAGATAAAACAGAAAGTTCCAGCAAACATGGTCATAGGCTTTCTTGATGTCCAGCTTGCACAAAACTCCAGGAATCCCGCTACTTAGCCTGAAATCCACACATTTACTGGCAATAAGGGCGGAATCCAGTATCTGTCTACCCCCGATAAACGCATTCTGAGAATCAAAGATAACACTGTCCAAAACCTCCCTCAATCGTAGCACAAGGACTTTAGCGATCAGCTTATACATACACCCAATCAGGCTAATGGGCCTAAAGTCCTTAACGTCAGTTGCCCCTCCCTTCTTGGGGATAAGGGCAATAAAAGAAGTATTCAACGACTTTTCAAACCTCCCATTAGAATGGAACTTGTGAAAAGTGCCCATAGCCTCCTTACGAACCACCACCTAGCTCTCCAAAAGGAACCTCATAGTGAAACCATCCGGACCTGGAGCCTTGTCACCATTACAACTCCTCAACGCCGAAAGAATAATTATGTGATAATTATGTGGTCAAATCCCACTAATTATAACAATAATATAATTATGTGATAAAATCCCACTAATTATGCCCTCAAATCCCACAATTCTAGGCTAACATATCTCAACTAACAATACTTTACTAAATGATTGGAATCCCAATTTAATTGTATGAAAAAAAAACAAGTGCTTTATTTTGAAAAATTGTGTTTGGGTGTGTATGGTAACCGTTAAAAGTACTTTTAATTATTACCAATTTTAGCTCACTAGAGCTTTTAAATGAAACTAAAATTTGAAACTTTTAAACATGCGTTGGAGGGTAAAGGTAATATATTTTAGGCAATTGTTTTTCCTTAGACAATTATGCCATTTTTTATTTTTTTATTAAGGCAATTTTACCCTTTATTTTATTAAGTTACTATTATCAAATATAATAAAATTGTATTAAAGGATATAATTATAAAATTAGCACTAGATGTATTTTTAAAAATATTATTACCAAACAGATTAAATAATAATTTAATTCTGAAAAGTACTTTCTAGAATGTCTCATCAAACACCAAAGATGCTTTTTACTAACCGCAATTTTTTGACTACAAAAAGGCTTTTTTCATTCCAACAGAAATGCCAAACAAGCTCTAAAGGATTTTCCAGAGTAAAAGCACTTCCAAGTTACTCTCTCTCTCTCTCTCTCTCTCTCTCTCTCTCATTCTAGACATATATTTGCATACATATCTATTCGTACATTAGCTATAATTTAATCAAACCTACCTAGTACAGCACCAAATCCTTTCATTTTCCCCTCCTTCAGTGCCACCTAGGTGCTAGGCAGATATTCATTGACTCTAGTGGATGGCATATTATATTTTCATACATCATTGAAGTGATCTAAGAAGACAGAATTATCTATTATAAGCACTTACCGTGGCCTAATATGGACTTGTACAAGAAATCATAAATAAATAAAAAAACTACAGGGCAATTAAATTTCCATGCAGCCTCTAAATGATCATTAATCAGCAAGGACTTAAGGCATATGGAAGAATTAAAGAACAAAATATACAAGACACCAAAGCATGACTACACTTACATCTGCATTAACCCTGCTCCACCCAGCTATTAATTGGCCTACAAACACACTACTGCACACAAATAAATACAGCTCAGCAAAGGGGAAAAGAGGTCTTACTTCCGTGATGGAACTGATGACGGCAGACTTTGCAAGGTCTGCAATACTTTCTCTACTTCTCTATCACTGTCATCAGGGTTCACTTTTCCAGGAACGGAATCCAGTATCCACAGCTGTTCTGCATCAGGTTTCTCATCTGTGAGTGAACTATACTTTGTCAAAAGAATCGACAAAAGGAAAGATTAGAATCTGCTTGAATAAATTAAATGCTGCAGGCAGAATTTCAAATTCTGAAAGTGGAATTTGTGTTTTTCAGAAGGTTTTCATATTTTGATAGTTTCCTTATTTTAAGTAGTTTTCTGATTTTCATCAGCTTTCCTTTTTGAGTAGTTTTCAGATTTTCAGCAGCTTTACTATTTTGACTTTATTTTATATTTGGTAGTTAGCTAATATAAGGCTAAGATTGGGGAGGAAGAAACTCGATATAAAGCCTTGTAATTGCTAGGGTTTACAGATTAGTGAAAATATTATTATTTTTTACAGCAAATAAAGTTTATGTAGTATTTCTGATTCTTCCTATTTTTCATTTTCGGGGATTTTTCGATTTTTTCTGGATTAGTTTCTTTTTGACTCGTTTTGCATGCCGGGCACCGTGGGGTGTGCCGGGTGAGTCTGAGAGTTGGTTAGGGCATTTTTTCGAATTCAAGACTTTTAAAAATGTATCGTTGGCCATTTTGGCATTTTTCAGTTTTTTGGGCCAGGTGGGACCCGTAACTGGACTTCTCGTGCACGAGGATTATTTTTCGGGACCATTGCATTTCATACATGTTTATTTGATGCATATCTACGTGGATATATGTTTAGATGTGTGGTTGTGATGTGTTTAGTGTGTGTGTGTGTGTGTGTGTGTGTGTGTGTGTGTGTGTGTGTGTGTGTGTGTGTGTGTATATATATAATGACAAAGGGACATATTTTCTTAGCCGTAGGACCTACAGTTGTAATGGTCATTATAACGACCACTTAGTCTACAGCTTTTCTCTTTTTTCTTTTTTCTTCTTCATTTCAAGGCTAGATCCTCACCATTCCTTTAAGATTTTGACTTTACCACTGAAGGAAAAGTCAACGACCACAACGAGAGTTTCAATTTGTTCGAAGCAGGAGCACCTTCGGGATTTCGAGATTTGGGAATTTTTGGGGCTTTTCTTCTATTTTGATGTAGGGGTCTCTAATACACATATTCTTTGATTTCGGTGAATTACCTCTTCATAATTTGACCCTAGTATGCTTAAATTGTATAGACTTGTTTATGGTTACAAGGGTTTATATGTATCAAATGTGGCAGTTGTATTTTATGTGATAGTTGGATTGATATGCATGCCTATTTAAATTGTTATGAAAGAGTATGCTAGATTTAAATTATTACATGCCCAACGTGCTTATATGCTATGAATGTGAAGTTGATTATGTGAGGTTTAATGTACTAATTGTCTCTTAATTATGCAAGCATGATGTGATTACAATGTATGAAACCTTGTTACTGGCATTGAGAAGCATGAAGCATTCATGCATGGCATTGGGCAAAAAATGGGTAAAATGATTTCAAAAGAAATAAAATTTGTTTTGGGAAAGATTTTAAAAAGTGGTTTGCGAAAACCTGGGAGCCTAGGAGTTGCCTAGTGGTCCGTGGTGTTAATGTAATCTAGAGAGAACTAGGGAGGGGCCATAGCGTGGTTGAGCTACCTAGACCCCAAATGACGCCTTGGAGTTGCCATGTGGTCAGGGATAGCTAGCCAGCCCTTCCCTCGTGGCGCCATGGAGTTGCCATGGGCCGGGTTGCATTAACGGTTTGGAATGAAAAAATGGAAAAGTTTTGGAAACGGGGAGCGACATTGGCATATCATTGCATTCCATTGGCATGGCATTGTGTATAGATATATATGGTTGGATTGCCTGTGTTATGGTTATGTTTCCCTTTTAAACTAGCATGATCCCCTACTCTCATTTTCTATGTTTTGTTTGGATTCACGGGGTCATTAAGAGGTGTGTCTTAGGCACCTCCTACTGAGCCGTTGTGCTCACCCCTTATATTACTAATTTCAGGTTACGGAAAGGAAGTGGCGGACGACGACCCACCACAAGCTTAGACAGGTTGAACGTAACTTGGATCTCTTTTGTAATTGATATGCATATTTCCATTTTGTTGTAAATTTTACATTAAGTGATGTTTTGCATCTAATTCGTGGGTAGAAATGGTTTTGAGACCCCTTTTGTATCTTAGGTGGTCTCATTAGGATTTCGGAATCCATGCAAGGCCTTAAGGCCATATTTTGATGTAATTGGACTTGTTTATCTTAAAACGATGTATTGGACTCATTTTCGATTTATTTGAATGCACGAATGTTTAATTATGTTTTATACCGTCAAAGGTATGTTTTTGGGACAGGTTTAGATTGTAATTGTTGAAACACTTATATGTATATATGTATTTATGCTGGGGTCTTATTGTAATTAGATATAGGGTTTGTGGCCATTATGTAATTAGGCCTTTATTGTATTGTATATAACTCCCTTTATGTTTTAGGGTTAAAAATACATGAGAAAATGGGCTGAGCAATTTAGTCTCTCTCTCTCGCTGTCTCTTCTTCTCTCTGTATCTCTATTGTCATTATATACAAATCTTCATTTCTACATGGTATCAGAGCAATCACATGTGACGCCCACTGGAGTGAAAGAAAATTCAGCTATGATGATTCCTTCTATTTTTCCACAGTCCTCTAGAGGTCGTGATAGTCCTAGTGGCAACAGAGGGTATGGTGGAAATTCAGGTAGTTCTCGTGGTGGCAGTGGCCGTGATAGAAGTCGCAATCGCCGTGGTCGTGGACGTAGTGACACTCGTATGTGCAGCCGCTGTAAGGGTACTAACCATTCTGTTGAGAATTGTTGGACTCTTCATGGGAAACCAGCATAGGCAAATCAAGCAGTGTCTTCCTCTGACCTTGCGGGGTCTCATCCCTCTCTTGGTCAGACTTCTGGATTACCATCACCTGCATCTACTAGTGACACTGTGACACTATCACTATCACGAGCTGAGTTCAGTGCATTGGTCAACCGGACACATCCCAACTCTACTGATGTAGTTAATTTTGCGCAATTAGGTAATATTGCATGCTTTTCCGATTTACAGACTTCAGCATCCCCTTGGGTTATTGACTCTGGGACTTCTACCCATCTCACAGGTGATGCCTCTCTATTTTCTAATTTTAAGAAGTCTAGTTCCTCATCTTTTGTTACTCTGGCTGATGGTAGAACATGTTCCATTATTGGCCAAGGAACAATTAAATTAGCCCCATCCATTTCTTTATCCTCTGTGCAATTAGTTCCAAATTTTCCCTTTAATTTATTATCTGTAAGTAAATTGACTCAAGCTTTGAACTGTTTTGTCACATTTTATCCTTCGTCTTGTGTCTTTCAGGACCTCAACACGAAACAGACGATTGGTGGGGGCAGTAACAGAAATAGCCTATACTATTTGGATTGCAAACCTTCCACTGTTGCTTTACATTCCCAGATGTCTGTGTACCAGTGGCATTATCGGTTAGGTCATCCCTCGTTGCGGTATTTGAAGTCTGCTTTGCCTTTCCTTGAGTCGGTGTCTATTTTAAATTGTGAATCTTGTCAGTTGGGTAAGCACCATAGAGTGCCTTTCCCTCCTCGTATTGTTAATCATCGGTCTTCTTTATTTGAATTAGTACATATGGACATTTGGGGTCCCGCTCGTCACACTAGTCACTCAAGTTTTTCTTATTTTGTTACCTTTGTTGATGATTATTCAAGGATGACTTGGTTATTTTTAATAAAAGACCGTTCTGAACTGTTTTCCATATTTCAAATATTTTTAAACGAAATTGAGGTCCAATTTGGGTGTGTTATACGTACTTTACAATCTAATAATGCTATGAAGTAAGTCAAAGGTGCAATTTCTAGTTTTTGCGACTCTGGTGGTATTTTGCACCAAACTTCTTGTTCTTATACTCCTCAACAAAATGGCGTACCTGAACGGAAAAATAGGCATTTAATTGAAATAGCTCGTACATTGATGATACATATGCATCTTCCAAAAGCATTTTGGGGCGATGCTGTTGTAACTGCTTGTTATTTAATTAGTCGTATGCCATCTTCCGTTCTTAATTGGAAATGTCCTTATTCCTTTGTTTTTCCTACTCGACCATTATTTGCATTACCGCCTCATGTTTTTGGGTGTGTGTGTTTTGCTCACATATTACGCCCTGGCGCTGATAAATTGTCTCCTCGTGCCATCAAGTGTGTCTTTATTGGATACTCTCGGACTCAAAAAGGTTATAAATGTTGGGATCCTAGCACTCGTAAGGCTTTTGTGTGCATGGACGTTACCTTTTTTGAGGATACTCCTTATTTTTCTTCACATAGTTCGTCTTTAGATACCGAGCTACTGCTTCCGTTGCCTGTTGTGTCACATTCATTACCCTGCGACCCACCATAATCACCTCATGTGCCACCACCACTTCAAGTGTATAGCCGTCGATCACGAGTACCCCCCCCCCCCCCCCCCCCGATCTTCCTATTGCATTACGTAAGGGTGTTCGCTCATGTGTCACTGCACACCCTATATCTAACTTTGTTTCCTATAAAAAGGTATCGCCCTCATTTTCTTGTTTTTTATCCACGTTATCTGCTACTGTTGTTCCAAAAACTGTGCAGGATGCTCTATCTGATACAGCTTGGCGCAACGCCATGATAGATGAAATGGATGCTCTTCATCATAATGGGACATGGGATCTTGTTTCCTTACCCGCCGGTTCCAAAACGGTTGGTTGTAAGTGGGTCTATACTGTCAAATATCTCCATGATGGATCTGTTGAGCGATTGAAGGCTCACCTTGTTGCAAAGGGATACACACAAACCTATGGCATTGATTATGATGAGACCTTTTCTCCTGTTGCGCAGATTTCTTCTATCCGAATCCTTATTTCTATTGCCACCAATCGCAATTGGCCATTATTTCAATTAGATGTGAAAAATGCTTTCTTACATGGTGACTTACATGAAGAGGTTTACACGGAGCAACCACCTGGATTTGTTGCTCAAGGGGAGTCTCGTTATGCTATATGTCGGCTTAAAAAGGCCCTGTACAGCTTGGTTTGGAAAATTCTCCGATGCAGTACTTTCCTTTGGCCTTAACAGATGCGAGACAGATCATTCGGTATTTTACCAACATACTAAAACTGGCTTTATATTTCTTGTGGTATATCTAGATGATATTGTTATAACAGGTGATAATTCTGATGGCATTACAAAGTTAAAATTGTTCTTACAGAATCGGTTTCACACAAAGGATCTAGGTAAACTCAAATATTTCTTGGGTATTGAGGTTGCTAGATCCAAGGAAGGTATAAGTCTATCTCAAAGAAAATATGTGTCGGACTTGTTAAAAGAAACAGGTATGTTAGGTACTCGCCCTGCTAATGCTCCTATGGACCCAAATATAAAATTATTACCTGATGAGGGTGATTTATTTGACGATCATGGCAGATATCGACGCCTAGTTGGGAAACTAATTTATCTCACTATCAACCGACCTGACATTTCATATGCAGTTAGTGTTGTAAGTCAATTCATGAGTGTTCCGAGAGTACCACATTGGAATGTTGTTCTTCGAATTATTCGATATCTCAAACAAGCTCCAGGTTTTGGATTACTATATAAATCTAATGGTCATCTTAATGTAACAGGTTTCACAGATGCTGACTGGGCTGGTTCTCCCTCAGATAGGAAATCTACTACAGGCTATTGTACACTTGTTGGTGGAAACCTTGTTACATGGAAAAGTAAGAAGCAAACAGTTGTAGCACGGTCTAGCGCTGAAGCAAAGTACAGGGCGATGGCCCATACCTCTAGTGAGTTAACGTGGATACAACATTTTCTTGAAGAACTTGTAATAGTCAAGACTCCTATTCCACTGTTCTGTGATAACCAAGCAGCTATTCACATCGCATCCAATCCGGTTTTTTATGAAAGAACCAAGCACATTGAAGTTGATTGTCACTTCACTCGAGAGAAAATATTGAGTGGAAACATTTCTACTCCATTCGTAAAGTCTGAAGATCAATTAGCTGATATGTTTACTAAGGCTCTTGGTCATAATCGGTTAAAAATAATTTGTTCCAAACTGGGATTATATGATATATATTCTCCAGCTTGAGAGGGAGTGCTGAAACACTTATATGTATATATGTATTTATGCTGGGGTCTTATTGTAATTAGATATAGGGTTTGTGGCCATTATGTAATTAGGCCTTTATTGTATTGTATATAACTCCCTTTATGTTTTAGGGTCAAAAATATATGAGAAAATGGGCTGAGCAATTTAGTCTCTCTCTCTCGCTGTCTCTCCTTCTCTCTATATCTCTATTGTCATTATATACAAATCTTCATTTCTACAGTAATTAAGGACTAAAATGGACCAAAGGGGTGCCGGGGTTGCAAAGCAACCATCACAGGCCAAACAGGCCCTAGCAGGGCAAACCGGTCAACGTCTAAGGGTTACACGTCGACCAGTATCTTCCAGTATGGTTTTTGGCTCGAGGGAACCAAACCAATCGACGTGTTCCCACTACACGTCGATCGGTTTCTGGTTTTCCTGTTTCTTGTTTCTTCTTCCTTTGTGGTTAATCCCGAGCCACTCATTGTTACCATGGGATGCTACGAACCTTAGTATGATGTATTAATTATGTCTTGACATCTGAAATGACGGTAATGCCCTTAGAGGACCTCGGGTTCAGGTAAGGACCCAGTTAGCGATTCGGACCCCTGGGTTCGGGTCATTACGTTTACTTTGCAATTCTCCTCTCTCTAGCATCGTTCTTTTATTTCGTTTTAAAATTGTTGTATAGAAGTTAATAGTAGTTACTAAAGCAAGTAAAACAAAGAGAATGCATAATCAAATCATCTACGAGTCACAACTACCTCAATACTGTTTCGAATTAATAAATGTGAAAAAAGAATTGTCCAAAAGAAAGTAAAACATCTTGAAATTTAGGGGTGTTAGGAACTTAGGATATAGGACTTTGGTTGGCATATTAGTTATCAACAATTGAAGCCTGTATTTTAGTTTTTTCATAAAGAGTCAAGTTAGTTGAGGTAGCAATCAAGGGATGCAACTTATACTTCCTCGTCCTCCAAAGTAGAAGGTCGAGGGTTCAAGTCCCCATAGGGGAAATTGTGAGTTTCTTGCCAAGGTTAAAAATAATAAAATAATAAAGATAAATAAGGTGATAGGGGTACTTTGTCCAAGGACAGATCAGGTCTTTCACCAGTGCAAAGACGAAAAGGTAAATTTAAAACTTGAATTGAGGCACTCACCAATTAGGATTTTGCATTTATTAGGCTTTCATGATTTGCACTTGACTCGTTCGATTGAAAAGTTTGAATCCTGACTTTCCTTTCATAATTAAACTACTCTAGAACCCTATTTTCTCTAACACTATTCTCTATATAAAGGCCTGCGTTGTTCAAAAAATAACAGAACAGCGAGCCATCATCATACATCTAGCACAGTGAGTGGATCAGTGAGTTGTTGAAGTATCAGTTTTTGCTCTCACAATGTACATATAAAGTTGGACATTACCCGTTAGGAGATAAAAGATCCATGGAGAAGCAAAGTTTGTGCGGAAAAAAGTCAATCAATGGATCAGTGGCTGAAGGATCAGGGATTGGTTTTGCAATAATCTGGGTCGGGAGGGACTAAATGATTCTTGGTACTAGAATCTGGTAACTCTGGATTTTTACACACCTGCCTCACTGGCTGGATCCCGTGATTCTCCCTGCTTGGGTTTTCCACATAAAATCTGGCATTTTATGTGTGACTGATTTACTTTATAGCCAAGTTCAGTATTGGTATATATACAACAGTAAATTCATTTTGAAACAAGAAGTAAAAACAGTGCAGGCGAGTGATGAAGGTTTGGTAAAGATATACCTGCTTGGGAAATCGAGCAGATTCACCATAATCGCCACGAGAACAACTCTCAGCAAATTGCAAGGCAACCTTACCACCCATTGAGTGCCCTATGACAACATCCGGCCAAACCCAACCATGAGACTTTACCAAATTAGCTATATCTTTGGCAGCATTGACCATATCATGAGGTAGGCATAATCCTTCTATTTCAGCTGATCTCCCATGATTCCTCAAATCCACGAGAACCATCCTCCAATCTAAAAATATACAAGAAAATTCTTCAAATCTCATGAAGAAGTGCTCAAAAGTGTAAATATTTAAGTTTAGCTGAATATACATGTGCATAAGTAAACAATGGACATGTATACCCATAAGCACATTAATTTGGTCTTAAACCTTCTGTGTCTCGGGGAGAGATAGGGAGAGAGAGTTTTGAATGTGGCAAAGGAGTTCAAATTTACAGAAAGCTTATTTCGGTTAACCGAAAATTCAAAATCTCCACACACACCCCTCATCTGTGTACTATATGAAGATGACCCGAGAAATGAAATGCTGAAAAGAAGGAATTAATACATTGAATTACTAGAACTCAAATTGAAAATTTTGCCTATCATAAATTTCAATCTGAGCCAAAATTAAAACATAGAACTAAGTAACCTTGTTATAAATACCTGGGAAAATACACTATTTAATTTAATCTTCTAATTTTGACCCAACAACAATACAAGGAGAAAATATATATATAGAGAGAGAGAGAGAGAGGGAGAGAGATAGTGGAATACCGGATGAAGGAGATGAGTTGGAGAGGGAGAAGGCGAGGGCTCGGGAGAATGATCGCCAGTTTCGAGCAGATCCCAAGAGGCCGTGAAGCACAAAAGCTGTCAATGTGTGGTCTGACGGTTCGGTGGATGTTCGGACCTCTTCGAAAGCTAGGGTTTCCAGAGATCTTGTCCTTGTGCCCCCTGTTGTTCCAAGGTAAACCGGACGCCATAACCGAGTCAGGAGAAGATTACCGGCTTTGTTCGTCACGCTTCTCGCCATCTTATCTTTTATTGGTCGATCTGTGTCTATAATGGCTGCCCACTCTAAACGAACCCCCTTAGGGACCACTTAAATATTTACATATATATGCGTGTGTATATATATAAATCAATCTCAAATTTGATTGGGATTGTGATTGTCTGAGGAATTCACGTAATCGTTGACCTTGCCAATTGATTCTTAGTGGTTTTTGATAATCGAACGATTCCGTGTAGGATAGTACTATAAAGTGTTTAGTCTGAATGGCTTATAGGTAACTAATTGAAAAGTTTACTTGGTTGTTATCATTAAAAACAAACTAAAATTAAACTGAAATATTAAACTAAGCTAAATTAAGTGATCAGAGAGAGAAATCTTAGGGCTCGTTAATTGTATCAACTCTGGGGATTTAACAAATTATGTTTTTAAATGAATTGAATTCAATAACATTCGTTCAATTCAGGTTTTAAAGAAAGATGTTTTTATAAAATAGTTAACTATAACCTATCTGCGGTTAGCATAAACTATCCGCCTACCTACTCTAACAACTTTAACTATTTTGCAAATAATTCATCTTTCCTAAGCATAGACTATGAAAACATTCTTTTATAAAAAAACGTTCGAATACCATTATATGACCTCTATTCCTTTGTCCGGCAGTGTTCCGCCAGATACAGTCTAATAAGATAGGTTGAGAATAGAAAACAAACAGTTATATGTAAAACAAGGTAATAACAGTTTGAAATCTATTTAAAGAATGAAAACCAATTGAGTTGTCTCAATTGCTCATAGTCATATAATCAAAAACATAATATACATTAAAATAATCCCAGAGTTAAGAACAATCAAACCATAATACTAGATTGGGTTACATCAGTGCCCTAAGAGAGGAATTAGCTACTCATGATGATGTCGGATATCATCTGTGTTGGAGTTGTCTCCATCGTCACGGACGACACTTCTTTTCTCAGGATCTTCACCTTCTAAGGTTATGGAAACCCTAAAAGCCGCCACCACAGTATCAGCCTTCTAAATAATACGAGAAAAAGGGACCTCTTCTATCAAGGCTTACGCCTTCTTTTATAGAAGAAAATAAAAGCTTGGTGGGCATTTAGGTGTTCTGGCCTATCTGGAATGAGATACGGCTAGAAAAGAGAACATTCTCGTAACTTAAATCTGACATGTCATGGAACACTCAAGCTTTAGGAACAAAAGCTCGAGCTTTAAGGTTCGGGCTCGAACTTCTTTGAATTGGTGCTTGAGCCTCAAGGATTGGTGCTCGATCTTCACTTTGACACTTAACCAATTTCTTCAACTATTTTCCGAAGTATCTTGTTTTTTCAACACTTAGAATATTCTCGGGCTTCATTTCTTTTAACATTACTCGATCCAAGCTTCATGGGCTCGAGCACTAAGTACTAGGCTCGAGCTTTAGGTACTCAAGGCTCAAGCCTTAAGTAATGGTGCTCGATCCTTGGGGTTAGCCACGAGGTCTGGGAGCTTGGAAATCAACTCTTCAAATTTCGACGCCTTGTGCTCGAGCTTGAAGGTCAAGGCTCGAGCACCATATGGTCAGGCTCGAGCACCCTTTGTTCAGGCTCGAGCATGAAGGTATAAGGCTCAAGCTTCAATGCCTTGTTGATTTTTCTTCTATAACTTGTAAGGCTTGAGCCTTAAGATTTGGGCTCGAGCTTTGGATATTGAATTCCTCCAAACTTCACCATTTAAACTCTCGGCTTGCTTTGAATGATCGGCAACGACTCTGTAAGCTTCGATATTAGTCTTTTGATCATAAAATCCCGGCTTTAACCGTTTCTCTGGGAAAGTACCTATAAACACACATTAAACATAAATTATTCTAACAATGGATAGAAGTATCACTTTAGGCTACAACATATGTCTATTTAGGGGCTCGAATATGTAAATATTCAGCACTCATCATACCCCCAAACTTACATATTGCTAGTCCCTTAGCAGTACAAAACTAAAAAGCCGTTTCTGTGAGAATCACGGTTGCATTTAGCCTATGCAACAAGCCTTTAAACCCCTAGGTTACCCCTAGTGAACGAGTTGTAGTCTCATGAGGGTTTCAGTGAAGATACCCACAAATTTCTCAAATCAGTGCCTTAATTGCATATTAAGCTCATTCGAACCTGTTTTCAAATCATATTATCCCTGCAATTCATTAATCAGTCAACTATAGCAAGTACAACCAATCATGTAATCAGAAAAACTTTCAATTTTTAATTTCAATTTAGCGACCATGGTCCCCATATATCAGTTTAATCATTCATTCAACAATCTCAATATCCATAACACTTATTTAAAGTGATCCTACAATTCAACGTGTGGCTTACTATCCATACTTACATTCATTCCTAGCTATTCCTTAATTCACAGGTAAACTTTTCAAAGTCCAACTCCCAAGGCGTTTATTATTTTTTTTTCAAGGTATGCATCTTTTCAAAAAGGATACTGTGCAATGTTCAGGTCTAATAAGTTTTCTAAATCACCCTTGTAACAAACTTTCAGCTAATGACTCCCAGACCAGACAGTCTTAGGGCATTAAGTGATAAAAGCACATTGTTCAAGTAATCTAGGCAATCTAAACCCCTTATGTAACAAGCTTTCAGCCAACGACTCCCAAACCAGATGGTCTTAGGGCATTAGGTGTCAGAACACACTCCTAATGATTTAATTACTTACGCAATCTAGGTACAAACCTGAACTTGATCATTTTCTACTTCTTTTCTTCACTTTTTTTTCTTTTCTTTCATTCACATTGGTGAATAATTTTTTTCTTTTATTGCATTGCATACATACCAATCTTTTCTATTTTTTTTCAAATTTTTTTTTTATGCCTTAGTTATCAAAATTATCAAATATACATGTTCATCTCAATTTAACTTAAAACAAAACAAGACTTCTAGTATTTACCCCACATAATTCATGCAAGTGTGAATATGTGCTAAGTGTAGCATTCCAGAGATTAATTTCATTAAATAAGGACTATCCTAACTAAGTGGACCACATGCCACCAACTGATTTCAAAATTTTCAAGAATCCCTTTTCATAATATTTTAGCATACAAACCATATCTAACTAACATTAGACTGCAAACGGAGTATATAACAATCAACAGATTCAAACGCATGCTAATAACATCAAATATCATATCCTATCCTTGTGTTAACAAAAAACAAAAAATTTCAAAATTTTCGCAAGTCCCAAATTACCTTGCCTCCAAACTTATTTTACACATTGTCCTTAATGTGTGAGAACAAAAGAGAGTTTAGAAAGATAGTACAAGATAAGTAGACTAGCAAAGATAGACCAAAGTAAAACTCAGAAGGGTAAATTGGAAAATTATTTCCAATCTTAATCTGTAGCATTTGACAAAATCAACCAATTCAGAACATATCAGAGTATCAAGCATATAGAGTAAGAATAGAGAAATATCACATGAAGTACAAATAATAATCACAAGGATATCATAAGCAAAAACATCTATATAGATAAGAAATATCAGTACAATGCTTGTTAAAATAATCGACTTAGGGCAAATATACATCATAAAGAAATAAATACATCAAAAAGCTACCCTAATCTACAAAAAAAAACTATAGAAAAGCCCTAGTCAGATAATCTATCTTTGGAGGAGTATCTATAGAGTTGGATGAAGTGGATGAAGTGCAGCGTAGTAACTCCTCTAATATGCTCTTCTGCGCAATCAGCATCTGCCATAGCACTGTCTGTCCGTCTTGCAGCTCGGTCACCCAAACCTGAAGCTCTCTAATCTCAGCCTGAGAAGAACTCTCAAGTTGGGCTGCAGGACCAGCCTCCTCCTTAGTGGGTCCTGGCTATCGGAGAGATCTATCTCATCCTCTGTAGCCTCATCATCATACTCCTCATAATCGTCATCCTCCGCCATTGCTGCATCAGCACAGTCGGCAGAAAAGAATAGTCAGCGAAGGTGGATAAGGTGGGAAATGCAGCACATATGGTACACCCTGTGCCTCAGCGTCCATGCACCGTCGATCCTCTCGGATCTCATCATCAACACCCCATTCCATCTTCATCGCCTTACGCATATGGCCGAAGACGTTGTTCCACTGCGTGAAACGTTACTGGGTGAAGACTGTAACAGTAGCCTCATTCGGGGGTATCGGAACCCCCGCTATCTCCATCAAGCGTGTGACAAGCCTGGGAAAGTGAATATGGCTGGTAGGAGGCATCGGGCCTCTCCCATCTCGTCGTAGAGCCAGCAAAGCTGCACAAATACTAACTGGGGAATGGACGCCTAGTAGCTAGCATGGAATGCATAGTATGCATCCACCATTTTTGTGCATCGCCCTATCTTATGTTTGATAGGGCGAGCATTGGCCACTAGGACTGTTTCTAAAAACTACAAACGTCTCGAAAGCTGTGACTTCCAGATTGTCTCTCAAGTGGTGTCATGCCTTCACTGGCCGAGTGCGCGGACCATCGTCTCTCTGGAAAGGCCAGGGGAAATGGTAGAAACCGGTCCTGTAGTGCAGCAGGGCACCTATGATGGCAATCCATCGCCTGTGCAATAGTCTCACACCTCACTGTCAGCTGTACATCCTCGATAGTAGCTGTGAAGTAGTCTTCCTTATCCTGGTCATCGTCTCCTGCATAAAGCTGCAAGGAGCGGCATAAAGCTGCAAGGAGCGGCAGAATGCTCGCATTAAGCAAGGATAGGCAATCTGTGATGGATGCCACAAGAATCCCAACAGCTGTCGAGCCTGTTGGGCCTCTATCACCCAAAATATATCTCGGTGGCACTGAAAATCCTCTAAAACAAAATCTGTCTCATGGCGGATAGTGTTATACCGCCATGAGTCACCTAGTGCCATCGCCAAAGTCCGAACAACTCTCTGTCGCAGACGTCGAGGCATCTCTGAAATCTAAAGCCCCGGCACACCTCCTAAACTTTGTCCAATAAACTCCCAAAACTGTGCTCTGAGGCTCGAGCTTAAGATCTAAAGGCTCGAGCTTAACACTGTTGAGGCTCAAGTTTGAAGTCCTGATGCTCGAGCTTCCTGCAGATCAAGGCTCGAGCCTGAATATGAGGGCTCGAGCTTTCT